GCCGCGGAGGGGCAGCGCGGGGCGCCCGCGGGCGGCCGAGGTGGACCGAGCCTCCGGCTCGCTGCTCCCTCCGGCGCAGCGAGGCTGCCCTTTTACGCGGCAGCGCGATTTATTTTCTTCTCTTTTAAACTCTTCTTCCAGGGAGAGGCTAGTGGTAACAGGCCGAGCTGGATGGATGGGTATGGGGAGAGGGGCAGGACGTTCAGCCCTGGGATTCTGGCCGACCCTCGCCTTCCTTCTCTGCAGCTTCCCGGCAGGTAAGGCACTACGCCCTGGCCGGGGACGGCCGGCGGGGGCCTCCCGGCGACCCTGGGCTCGGGCTCGCCAGCGAGTGGAGACTCAATCTCGCCAGCCCCCAGGGACCCCCGCCTCCCGTGTCCGCGGGCCTTTGTTTCCCAGCTGCCCTGGTGAGGACGCCATGGGTGTCCGTGGAGACCCGGGGGACGCGCCCGAACTGCGAAGGGCAGGGGCGGGCGAGGAGACCTCGGCCCTGGGGTACCTCGTCCTGCGCCCGAGGAAGGGAAGTGGTGCCCAGGACGCACCTCCAGCGGTTCCGGAGGAGAAGGGGAGCTGGACGCACTTTGCTTCAGTTTACAAACCTGCCCGGGGTGCAGACGGGGCATGTCCCGGAGGTCCCTGCTGTATCCCCAGTGGTCCTCTCCCCTGGAACCCTGTCCCGCCCCACACGCTTCCCGACGCAGGCAAGCCCACCGACCCGGTTCAAATGAGCTCATACTGCTGTTCGATTACATTCCGTGTCGCCCCCTGTTTGTTTTTATTGTGTCAGAAAGACAGAGAATTTCAGAATTAAAGCTGAAAAAGCCCATCTGTTTCCAATGAATCCCCCATAGTTTTTCACAATGTTTTTGGCAGATCACTGCTTTCAAATTCCTCGGAGCCCGGACCTCTTGTTTTTGTTGGGGGAAGGGAGACCAACTCCACAGAGAAGCGTTTGTTCCTTCCCCGAGCGCTCCGGTTTCTTTACTTTTTTTTTTTTTTTTTCTCTCCCCTTTCGGAGGGAGGGGGGAAAGGCACGAAACTGAAATCCCCAGTGTGTTTTCTTTATAATGTTTCATAAAACTTTATTTCATTTTGCCATATGCTGCTCACAGCCTGGAAACGCCAGTTAAACCTTTTATATCCATTTTTCTCGCGCAAAAAAAAATACAAATAAACAGTGTCCCCGGCCAAGGGGACCTCTGTGCATGACACGAATAGTCGGCTGCCTTTTCATTGTGTGGCAGGGCTCAGAGATGTCTCCTGCAAAAATTCCAGCTGGTTTCACAAGGCAGCCAGGCAAATCTGCCGCCCCTGCGTGCAGCAGGATCTGCAAGAAAGGACTTGAGCTAGGCTGGGATTGAGTTGTTTTGATTTGCTTTTCAGCCAACTGGGTTTCAAGGAACTGGCAGGACGGGGCAGTCTGCACTGGGCCTGGCTACAAGTTGGTGCTCCCCGTGGGCGGCCCACGTAGACAGCCAGCAGTGTGGGGTAGAGCCTCAGTTTACCCTCTAATCCCAGCCCTGCTGAAGGCCCTGAGCGCCTAGCCTGCTCCAGAGCCCTCGATTGCAAGAGCAAGACCCTGACAAGGGCAAGAAGAGAAGAGGGTGTCAGTGTCCCCTAAGATCCTCAGCCCCCACGTGCGCAGGAATACCACAACCTCACCGCAGCACGGTGTCCTCCTGGACCCCTGTTGTTTGAAAAGACCGTTTATCCATCTACTTAAGAATCTGGCCAGATGAACAAAAAATAAAAATTACTCTCATTTTAAAAAAGAAATCCCCATTTTGGAGAAGCAGGAGTTTACAGTTTGTGTTCACCTCGGTTTGGCGTAGATAAAGATCCAGCCCATTGGAAGTTTTATCAGATGGGTTGATAAATGGCTTTTGTCCTTCGGCTGCCTTGGGGGATGTGCTGTCAGCCCCACTGAAATTGAGAAGGGGGGCTCAGGGGCCCTTAAAACAACACCTTCCCGCCCTTAAAGCCACAGAGCAGAATTTCTCAGGCTAGAAGCAAAGGAAAGGAAAGGATGGCGGCAGTTCTCAGGTCAGAAGTGTTTGTGGTGCTTCTTGATTCGTTTTGGGTTTTTTTTTTTTTTTTGTCTTAAAAACTTGTCTTTATGTTAGAGAGTCCCGACAGAGTCAAGGGAATGCTGGTGGGTTATATAATTCACAACCCAAATTCCATCACTTTGTTTCCAAGAAACCAATTTCTTTTTGGCTTCAAGGCTGGTAACTAAAACCTGGCAGATGGAGCCGATAGCTGCTGGGCTGTCAAGCCAGCTGGCTAAGGTTTCTCCTCCTCAGAGCCCCTGACAGTTGCATGGAGCCACAGTTGCCCACCTTATTGAAAACTGAGCCTCCCGTAGCCCACACTGAAATATACAGCAAACTCCAGAATTTGGAACTTGTGTGCTCAGGAAGCCTGGGTCAGAAGATAGCTCTCTGTAAGTGAGAGATGAATGAAACCGGCAAGTTCCAGAACAAAGAAGGGGACTGCCACAGTGGTGCTTTGGAATAGTCAGAAGACCAGTTCTGGAGGAGAGCAGGGTGGGTCTTGCCGAAAATAAAAAGCTTGGCAAGTAGGTGAGGCTTAGAGTCATACCTAAGTGCCACCGATGCCCCCTTCCATGGGTGAGGACAGGCTCAGGAAAAGTGGCAGCATAGGTTCCAGCCAGCTTGGAGGGCAGTGGCCAGGAGAAGACAAAAAGGTGCAGGTTAAGCTGAATGCGGGAGGGGGGTAAAGATGCCTTCTCTCTGCTAGCTTGAGAGTGTTTATGTTTGAGTATTCACATTTACTTTCACACATTTCATACATTCACACGTATGACAAATCTGCTGTGTCCCTGACTCCCTGACAGCTACAGCTTTGGGGCCCTCAGGCAGACCTAGACTGGTAAACAGAAAGGGCCTTGAAGTGTCACACAGGCAGGAAGGGCATCTGCCTGGGCAGTGCTGTGGGACCCAGGAGCAGGCAGGCAAAGGCCAGGCCTACCCCAGATGGGAGGCAGGACAAAGCTTTTCAAAAGAGGCTTCCACAAGTGGCATCCTCTTCCAAACATAGTGGATAGATACTTATGGGCTTAGAGGCCATGTGACTCATTCTAATGGGTGTCTAAGAGAAATCCATCAGGGCCTGCTTTGGACTGTTGATGTGTTTCCTGTTAACTGCAGATGGGTATGGTATTCCAGCATGGTGTTTCTCAAAGTGCAGTCCTGGGACCAGAAGCATCAGGCTACCCTGTGAACCTGGGCCCAGCCCAGAAGTCCCGAAGCTGGTAGATTCCCTGGGCCAAGATCCCTGCTGTCTGCTCTGATGGGCCTAGGAAGGGATTCTGATTCTCACTGAAGTTTGCAGCCTGCTGTTCTCTAAGAAGTACTGCACACCTGGGCGTGGTGGCAAAGATCTGTGATCCCTGCACTCAGAAGGCTGAGGCAGGAAGGCCTCAAGTCAATGCCAACCTATACTACATAGCAAGACGCTGTGTCAGAAGAGACACAGCCTGTACTGCACTGCAGCCTTTATTTCTTGTTTTTTCTTTTACACTTTCAAACTGTAGCAGTTTTAGAATGTTAGTCCCAGTGGGGAAAGTAAGGCCTGGAAAGACAAAAATCCTGTGTCGGGTTTCAGCACAGCTGGGTCACTATAGATATGAGCATACTGCTGCTACAAATCAGCCTACTCAGTGTATTGCTTTCTCCCCCAGTTGGACCTAGTGTCCTAGGACAGTGTCTCTGTCTCTAGGGCTGCAGGGACAGACTACCACAGAAGAGGCGTGTGGGCAGCACGAAGTCCTAGCTCACGGCCCCGGCCAGTGCAAGATCACGCCCCTGTTGATTCCTTGTCTGGTGAGGGCCCTCTTTCTGGGTGGCCTCTCTTCCCTCTGCCTCTGTCAGGCAGAAGAGACAAGTGGGTTCCTTGCCCCTACCTCCCCCATGAGGATGGGGGCACTAATCCTTTCATGAAGGCTCTACCCCCAGGACCTAAAATCACCTCCCAATGACCACTGCTCCTAATACTAGGGGCTTGGATTTAGCATTTGAAAGGACAGGTTGGGAACAAAGGCTTCCTCTATGGATGAGGGGGTCTTACAGCCAGTGTGTGAAGGGTCTTACAGGGCAGAGCTGGGCTCCCAGGGAGAACACAGATGGAATTCTGTAGGTGGTTGGGTCCTTAGGTCCCACTGGTGAACTAGGTGGTAAAGGAAAGGATCTCCAGTCTTCCTGTTTAGAGAAAGCTGGAGAAATTTCAGGCAGTTGTCCCAGCACCCAAGAGAAGAGTGTTGGAGAGAATTGTGCATCTGATGAGAGGTGACCCAAGGCACAAATAAGGCATCTGTGAGTTGGGAAGAGGCCAGTAGGCATGCAAAGGTGTTCACATGAGGCATGAGGGTCTGGTTCCCCTAAAGATCCCGTCTTGGGTGGAGTGCATCAAGCCTGGACACTGTGCCCCAACTTCAGGTTTGGGTTGAGCACCAGCTTGATGCCGTGCTGTTCTGCTTCTTGTCTAAAATGCAACCTGCTTCACGCTGAAAACTTGTTTTTCTTGAGGTCCCCACCTCATCCCAGTTTTCCTAAGACTCTTTATTTTAAAGCAGAAAGCCAAGAGTCCTGGCACAGCAGCACGGCTGGTATCGGTTACCCTAATTTCATCCCCTCACCTGTACCCGGAGGTAGGACATGGCGTCCTCAGTGGTAGGTGACACTTCCCGTCCCAGTGTCCTGGGATGAGAAGCCCTTCTCCAATCCCCACTGTCACCTTGCTAACATCTGCAGCAGGAGCAACCCCCCTAGGACTTAGGCATCTAGCAGGAAGGACAGAATGCTGGTCCTGCGGACCTGCTGGGCCTCATTTCCATGGTGTTCTGTCTATCCCCGAGCTGTCCTGGCTGCCCCTACAGCCCTTGCCCCCACTCCTTCACCATGGGTAACCACCAAGCCTTGGCCGTGGCACCACCCAGCTTAGGCTGTAGTGCCCACCATCCGCCCACTTGATCCAGGCCAAGCTCGGGGCTGGGGTGCACACAATCCTCAGCACCCTGGGAACCTGTCACATAGGCTACCTAGAGCTGACTTTACCCTTGTAGCTTGGTAACCTCATGAGTCTCAGGATTCTGTTCTCTTCGGAGCCACCAGTTCTGTTCATAAGGGCAGAAACCCTACTTGCTGTGTCTCTAATAAATCTGTCTCCTGCAGCAGACACGTCCAGCATTGTCCCAGGAGCTACAGACCCTGGGGTTTTATGTTTCTGGTGATTTGGG